GTGGGTCAGCCCATTGGTTGCAAATGAACTCGTCCATCAGCTTTACAAAACTTCAACCTTCCTGACGATAAGTCCCCTGTGGGTCATCGCCTCGATTGCAGTGTTGTAAAAGCTTTACAAAGTTTCAAGCCATCTCCCCAGTGTCGTTCCTTGTGGGTCAGCACATTGGTCGCAGATGAGCTATTCTATCAACTTTAAAAAGGTTCAACCCTCCAGACGCGGAGTCCCCTGTGGGTCATCGTCTCAGTTGCAGCATCGCAAAAGTTTTACAAAGTTTCAAGCCATTTCCCAAGCGTTGTCCCCTGTGAGTTATCACCTCGATCGCAGCGTTGCAAAAGCTTTAAAAAGCTTCTAGCCATCTCCAAATCGTTGTTCGCTGGGGGTAAGCGCTCCGGTCGCAGACGCCTCTCAACAACCAGCTTCACAACGCTCCTATGCATCAGTTAAATATTCATTGTTTTATACAAGGCAACAAACTACTAACCCAGAGGACCCCCTACCCCATTGCCTTGGTTAAAAAATGCACATCGGCTACAAAAGCTTCTGCCATTTTCCCGCGTTGTCCCCTATGGGTTAGCGCTTCAATAGATACGGCAAAAACCTACACTCAAAATGGCAGGCATACATAGCCGATCAAAAGTTCACGAATGATATATTCATCCATAAACTTCAGGGGACCACTGTTACACCCCTCACTAATCCACCTCGGCACATCATGCCTACTACTCAGCAAGGTGCCACATCTCAAGTGAGGTGGTTTCGAAGTGATACTAGCCTCGCTCGAACCTTAAAACTGACGTGCTGTGAGGCACAAGCATCATCGAAGTAATTGCTGAGGCGTCTCTCCTTACCAAACTGTGAAGAGTGTTGAGACACTTTGCAACAGAGGCTTCTCTGCCGCCAGTTTCGGAGATGTATCTTTGTGTCAGGATCATCTTTTATCTTCATAGATTGATTGATATTACATCTTAACTTTATGTCAACTCACAACTCAGAAGAATTAATTACCCACTCCCTCTAGATGCGGCTAATTGACGTCTACGAGCAGACGTCGCACACAGCTAGATGCATACGTGTGTCCCACATTCAACGGTGCCCCTTGCCTATAAATACCAAAGGTTTGTCAATAGACAAAGTAATGAATTTTTCTCATACTTGGCACTCCATACTTCAATAAAATATATTCTCTTCTCCACTTTCTTGCACAATTCCGACCCTGTTCCGATCACCATCCATTGACTTGATCGTCGGAGTATATGCGGCCACCACCATCCCCGCTGGTTCCGGTCGTGTACGTCTGACCATTTGCTGTTGTGCGTAAGGAAAAATACGTAGAGTAGCTCTCGGTTGACCACGTGGAAGGTCTAATTCACGAGGTCAACATAAAGCACTATGATAACCTCAAGTCAAGGAACCAATTCCACTGCCGAGCGTTAAAGATTAACCACTGACACTCAGATAATTATTCATGTAAAATCTCCCCGACAGGTCTCTAATATTTTCTTCTATAACAAAACGTCTACATGTTCATTTAAGTATCACTACACTTTAGCTTTTGAAATAAGCTACTTACTTCACAAGTAAAAACTGATGTGATGGTCCATCGATAACAACAATATTTATATCTCATTATTATTTACGACCATGGATGATTTAGGATTCAGTTATATGTAATTTATATCTCACAATATGATTAACAAATTAATAGGATTTGAATCACGGACTTTATAATTTAATAATTGGATATTAATTAAATCATAGATCTTTCATAAAATTGCATCAATTATATATTAAAAGTGTTTATATCCAAAGTTGATTTGATATAGGGCATAACACTTACACAATTTTTTGAGATTTAATTGCTTTGAATTTCCAAATAGATCTAACAATGAACTCAACTAAATGACGGATCAAGGCTCGAGTGCACAAACCCAAACATCATTGAAAACATGGCCTAGAATTGTTACATAAATCTTTATCCTTCAAGTACGTAATGTGAACGTATTACGTATACCCATTGTGGCATTCACACTTCACATTTGGGCAGTCATGGGTGCATTTAGTAGTTTTCTTGATTTCAATTATGAGAATTCTCAAATTTAATTCAATGACCTTGGGGGCATACCCTCCATAACCCCCCGCCCCCCGCCCTCTCATGCGGTAGATGAGCTCTCAACACCCATAAACATTGTGATAATTGTGTATGTTGAATGGATGCCTAACAAACTGCAACAAGAAGATACTGCAACAAGAAGATCCCCCCCTCTTTTTCTCTCCTCTCTCTTTCGTCGTGGAATTTCAGTATTTCACTCTTGTGAAACACACTTATATAAGGGCATTGCCTCACATCAACATAAATTAGTGCAGTGACTAATTTTCCACCTGTACTCTTATTATCAATTAGCCACTTCCTCCTGTTTCTCCCCATTAATGATTCTTGATTGCTTATCGATGGAATATGTAAAAACTGAGTTTGAAGATTTGTTTATACGTGATGAGGAAAAAACAAAGGGTGGCAGAATGGGGAAGAAGAAGCACATTGACTCAGATGATGAGGACGATAAATACAAGTCCAAGAACCTTGAAGCCGAGAGGAGGCTGCGCAAGAAACTCAATGACAGGCTCTTAGAACTGCGTTCATTAGTCCCAATAATCACAAATGCAACGACTCAAAATCTTAATAGCTTTTCCATTGCCAAATTGATTAATCATATTAATTAGCAGTACTTTTCATGTGTGCATGATATTATATTAACTTAACTTCTGGCATTAATTTTAGATGAACAAAGCTACCATAATGACTGATGCTGTCACTTATATTGAACAGCTACGGAGACATGTAAAAGATCTTAGCAACCAACTACTCAAAATGGATACAACTTTTGTAAAGGAGGAAGAGACGACGAAAATTGAAGAGATTGATTCAGCAGAAGAGATGACGATATGGGGGATAGAAGTACTACGATTGTTAATTATAAACTATGAAGTTTTTATTCTTGAATAATTCTATTTGTATACCCAAAGGTAAAATAAATTGTTTACTCCTATCACATGCACGCAGGACCCCGGTGAATAAAAAGAAAAAATCCCAAAATGTGGTCTCCACCCTTCTATTGTGAGTAGTCAGTAAGGGATTAGGTAAACAAATTCAGTACATGTAGCATAGTCCTATTTACACTTTGTTTGTTCCCTTTATTTTTATCGTTCATGACAAATTCTTTTTCTATTGCTGTCAACAGCCACAAGTTCAGGGGACTTCCATTGATGGGACTAAAGTATGGATAAAGATCGTCTATCAGAAAACGAAAGGCAGATTTACCAAAATAATGGAGGCCATGAGTGTGCTTGGATTTGATCTTACTGTATCAATGTCGCCACGTCCAAAGGAGCAATTCTTGTTTTCTTCCTGTGTGGAGGTAAAGTTTGATTCTTTTAATAAATAATAAGTCACTTGGTACAATTTGTCTGCTCATCTGTTTACTCGAAATGATATTGTTTTCTCATAGTAGATTACATGGTACAATCCTTGTACATCTATGCGAGTACACCAGATACTGAGCTTTAGTACAGAATAATATTTTTGTCACAGCAGTATATAGAAAGACTAAGGTTTATAAACTTCTTTTCACACTAAATTTCGGGGAACCCAAGGTGGCCTACCTGATGTTGATCAGCTCAAAGAATTTTTATCCCAGTTCATCAAGAGAATTTAAAGGAGTAACGATTGATCTACAAACTAATAAAGATGATTATAATGCGATTCTTGCTTTTACGAGTGTATTCTTTTAAAGGATTTTTTAGCATTGTTTAAACAGCTTCAAGCAAGTGATCAATATTTACTTATTGATGAAGAATCCAGCGTGAGTCGAAAGAAATGAAAATTGTTACAAGAACAGTATGAGCATAAATTCTTTGGTTAAATCAATTGTGAATATGATATCTTGCATGATTAGTACCTTGCACTGACAATAGAGCTATAACTAAATTAGAGTATCAACTTCAAGTCCAACCTTAATGTGGACTCTTGACACGCTCTGTAAAATTAAATATAAACATAGAAAAGTGAAAAAATATATATAATATTTGGCGGTCGCAAGTTTTTCAGAAAGATTAGAAATCAACCTGAAAATGCAGTTTATACCAAGTAAAGAAAGTTATGCAGCTCGAAAATTTCGGGAAGAATCGAAAGTTTCAGCTTTTGTGATTCCATCAACCACCCAGATAAGCTTTTCCTAAGAAACACCTTCCTTCATTAGCTGCAGATTCAAATGCATACCACATGGATACTTTTTAAAAAGTGCAATTTTTTATTGTTCAGAATCTTAAAGAAAGACTAATGTGTTTCAAAGATTTGAATCTAAGACTCAGTTTCTCCATCTTCTGGCAAAAAGACTCAGTCTATTCTCTACCATATAACACAACTCCAGACCTGCATTTAGTCAACTAAGTTCTTGGCCCTTACAGGACTCGATTTTTATTATGGCTAGATTTCTATTTCTTTACATTATACTAGCTGTACTATTCGGTTATATGGGGAAAGGCATTGCGTTGAGAACTTCATGTGCCTTCGGGCCTATGCAAGTAGCAGTTTCAAGTCCAGCACCAGCGCCATCAGAAAACGGGATTAATTGGGTGTCCAATGGAGGTCCAGGAATCCCACTAATTAGGACACACAATTCGTCTGTCGCTGGTGGAGATGTGATTCTTGTTGGACTAGCCATTGTTTCAGTAGCTGCCATTTTCTGCTACATCCGAATCACCAGACGAAGCAGAGAATCTCGTGCCTGAGATGACATTATCCTAGTTTTCCAGCTTCCTTTCTACATATTTAAATTCGATAGACTATCTTATTTTGAGATTTTTGAGTTGTATGCAGAATTAATTGAATTTCACGAACTTCATCTAAATTGCCGTGCTTTATACTTAAAAAGTGTTGAAAAATGAAAACATCTATGTGATTTGTATAAAGCAAATAAGGTTGATTCTTAAATGAACAGGAGTTGCAACTTCAAAATATTCTTTTTTCATTCCAAAGTTCTACAGTTAGTCTCCAGATTTTCCCGATCCTAAAAGCATTAGATGAGGAAATCATTCCATTTATGTTCTTCAAGTTTCACAGCAAAGGCAAATCTAAGAATGCCTTGAACAAAACTAGAGCAAATTAGAACTGATAAAGAGGATTGATTATTCTTTTACTTCTCAAACTTCCAACTGGAGCTCCTCCTAGCCAGATTTTTTTCCATTAGCACATCTGCGTTGCAAAATCAATTTTAAAATCTAGAATGAACAATCAAATCGTGTTTACTTCATAGAGAGAGAGAGAGAGAGTTTACCTTGAGGATTGCAAATAGGGGGTTCTTCAAAGAGAGAAAGAGACAACTTCTTAAGAGCCAATCCAATGTCAATCAAAATAATCCCAGAGGAAGGATCAGAAACAATTATATCCTTCACAGGTAACCATAAAAAAAGTTCTTCTTGAGACAGACCCTCCACTCCAGTGAGTCCACCATAGCTTAGATTAGCCCTCACAATACTGTCAAAGAACACCCTGGTCTCAAACTTAGCCACACATGGTGACTCCAAGTACACTTGAAGTTGATCATTTTCATCAAGTTCATAGGACTCCACTCCATTCTTGGGGAAAAGCCCTGCTGGCAATCCTTTGCTTCTGAGAAGTTCATGAATGGAGCTTGAAGTGGTGGCTAAAGGATGGAGAAGCAGTAGATTCAGAATTACTGTATGTATCATGGTGGGCTTGAAGAGGGTGAGAAGAGTAGCCATGGTAGTGAAAATGAGAAAGCTGCAAGAGATTTTAACATGATTTTTGGTATGAAAGGTGGAGTGTACATGTATATTTACTAAATTAACCTTGTATGCATAATTAAGAGGTGGGGTAAGAGTGGGGTGGCTTATTATTGAAGAATACAGAGAGCTGAACAAACTTATTTGTAGACAACTCAATGAAATAGCTGCAGCATTGTCTTGCCAGAGGTGATTTTACCTAATTATAATTGATTAGAGATAGATAAAAATGATTAAGAAGGAAAGGGCAATCTTGGTACTACAGTATTCAAGTTTACCAAACGCCTTACATTTGGCTTAAGCCAAAAGGTTGGCTGTGCATGAAAAACATAGGATGGTGTCAGTACTCAGAAGAAGCTTCACATTTTTTTTCCTGCATATGCTTTGACGGAGAGTACGAGGTTACACCTACTTTTTATGACTTTCTTCTTCTTCACATATTGAAATTAATTCGATTTAGGAAAAAATCATATGTAAAAAAAAAAAAAAAAAGTGCCTTACAGAAGTGTTCCAGATTCTGCATTGGAAGTTTTTGATTGAATCTATTTTTATTTCTTTTTTTTGCGTGTGTTTTTTGTCATGAACAAATGAAAAATCGTTAAGTGTATATCTGTAAAAATTCTGTGAACTAAATTTTGTACAACTAACATTATTCTTCGATTTAAATATGAGAATTTGCATAATATCTTTCTTTTGATGTCTACATATTGACAATCATTTTAGCCTAAACATGCATGCATTTATATTACAGGGTCAGAAGCAAGGTTGGGTCAAATTTAAAATAAGAGGCTCCATAAACTGGCATAAATCTTGGACAAGGCGACAAAGAAGAGTATGTTGAATAAATCAAAAAGCATTTAAGATTATATTATAAATTAATTAAAATGGAGATATGATTCATAATTATATTCTACTTAACCACTTTCTTTCTCTTTAAGACTTTTTAGACTTTCTCTAATAATGTATTGTGTCTGTCCTAACATTGATCTTCCTCTTCACTTCATTCTGCATTAATTATTTTATTTTCATTGTAATTAAATTTACCTTTTTGTATAAATCAAGAATGTTGTAGAATCAGGTTATTAACTTGCGACTTTCACCAACGAGGTGGGTTTTCATTAGTTCAATTGTATATCACGTGTGAGACTGATGACAACAAACTACACGTTGGTCACGTGAATCCTTAATTGTATCCTTACATTTTGTCGTACTCAAAAGTCCAATACAACTAAATTCTTCACAAACACAACCTACAAACATACGGTAATCCTCATTTATCAGGATTTGGTGCCGATTATGCATAAAAAAATTGACAAAGTTAACTCGTGACAAAACAATGAGGAATTTATCCAGATGAAGCATGGTAACAAAGAAATATATAGACATAAAACTTTGAAAATGTGTTGAATGAACTTAATGCAGCCATGAACTTTCATATTGAGGCTGCTGCACATGATAATAACCTCCATAGTTATACACAGTATCCTGGTATCTTCCATCATTCCTCTCATCATAAGCTAATGGTGTCCCAAAAAGATAATCTGCAGCACTTTCCCATGGATTCCTTCTTCCTCCATGACCACAAACTGGGCAAATTTCATTCATTTTCTGATCTCCTTTGGCTAGGCAAGGCCAGTATCCAAAAAAACTGTCACAAAGATCCAAACATTCCAAACCAGAACCATATGGAATTTGTCTCCCAAATTGCCCATTCTCAAATCCATTATCATGATTGTATAGAGGCAATTCATCGCCTCGGTTCACGCCTAATTCTCCAATTTCACTGCCCACACCATCAATGGCACCTTGGGGTGGTGGATCAGGTAATTCTTTAACTTTTTCATTGCCCACACCATCTAAGGCAATCTTATCTACACTTTCACCTTGGGGCTGTGGATCAGTTTTGATTGCAATTTGTTTATCGTTTCCCCCATAAGGTGAAGGAATTGAGCTATATGAGAAACCGTCCAAAGCTGCACCTTCTGATTGTGGAGTTGAACGAGGATAACAGTTTTGATCGGACGGAGGAAGAGGGCTGCCATAAGTTGCCGAAGGATCATAACCACCACCGTAAGGAGTTGGATCATATTCATCAAATTCATCAATTTCATTGAATTCTTCAGTAGAATTATAGACTTGGGATTTTGTCGCAGATGAAAAATAAACCCTAGCATAAGGATGAGGCTCATACTGAACAAGTTTAGGCTCACTGTAACTATAGACGGAGTAATTTGTATCAAATCGAGATTCAAAAGCATCATAGTAATTGCCATTGGAAGAATCATAATACTGAATCGGCTCATACGAGATCAAATCAGGCTTGTTTTCATAATACTGAATCGACTCATATTGGATCAAATCAGGCTCGTGTTTATCATAAATAGAGTAATTCACTTGTGCTCGAGTTACCGAAGAATCATAATACGAAGAAGAATTATAAAATTCATAATCAGAGGAAGTATCATAGGGAGTCCAATTGCACTCACCGACATCACCATTGTAGCCATAGAAAGCCATTATACAACACAATCAAGCTGGGAAATTGTACAATCTGATATCAAATTCATACCATTTGCAGTGAGCAATTTCAAGAATGGAAGGGGGGAATGTTAAGAGAATTTTGTAGTATTATGTTAAAATCCTAGCCATCTGATTCTTATCCAATAATGAGAAACAAACGGTGATCCTATGATTCTAAAATGAATTATGAAAGGATAACGTAATGGAAATATTGGTACAAGTGCACGTGCCCTAGGCCCCAACTGGTTTTTTCGTCTATTGAATATTGATTATGACAGTTGATTAACTTAATTTTTTAAGACTCGGACTCTTTTGTTCTGGGCCGACGCATTGGAATGGGCCGACCTCACAGGTGATGGGTGGTACACTACATGTACAGGGCAACTTACAAAAATACCTTTAAAATTAAAAGTGTTTTAAAAAATTATATGAAACATTTTTTTGGAAGTAAAAAAATACTGTGTAAAATTAAAAAGTGACACAATGTCACTTTTTTTTTATAAAAATTGTGTAGTGACATTGGGTTACAACGTCACTTTTCAAAATTTAGTATCACTTTTTTATTAAAAAATTTAAGACAATGTCACTTTTATTTAAAAAAATTATATTTGTCACTAAAAAAAGTGATAGAAATAAAAAAGGTGACTGAAAAAAGTAACAAATACTAAAAAAAAGTGACAAAAATTCAAAAAAGTGATAGAAATTTTAAAAAAAAAATGACAAGTTCAAAAAAGTTAAACAAATTTAAAAAAAAAAAAAAAAGTTACACGGATTAAAAAAGTGACACTCAAAAATGACAAAATTCCAACAAAAAAAAAAGGTGGCAGAAAATAAAAAAGCGACAAATCATAATCCACAAATTTCAATATAGCCAACTTATCAATAAATTGACACAAAATTTCAGTATATTGACACAATTTCAATATATGACGAACATTGGTAGTTAAATCACAAGCACATCAATTACAATATGAACACAAGAATTTGTAAGTTGTAAGTGATGAAAATTCAAAAAAGTGTCGAACACTAAAAAAAAGTGACATAATCAAAACTCGACATCTTAAATTTCAATAAACTATTGAAGACGTTGACATAAGTTCCCATCCAACATAAAAACCAAGTTATTCAAATTGCATAACATATATACTTCACTAATACATACAATCTTTGTTGAGAAAAACAAGGAGCATATTCCATTGGTGTTGTTGAGTTCAATTATCCCGATGAAAAGAGTACGATTCAATTCAAATATTATGGCTTGAAAAGGAATTAATGGTTATAATGTGTAAAATTGTGTCACCAGCCCTTGATGCTTGTTTGGTTGCTATAATAATCATTGCTACTCCAACAATGTTCAACTGCTCCTATAATAATAATAATAATAATAATAATAATAATAATAATTAGTAGTGAAATCGATTATACCAGCCAAAATAAAATGGAGACCAAAAACCACATTTGCGTACCTCTCCATGAACAATCTCTTGGGCACCACAAAAGCATCCGAGTGTTGAAACTCTTGAGTTTAGTTGTCTCTACAAGCATCACAAATTGGATATCTAAAACAATTTGTTATTCAACTTACAACTGAAGCAATTGAAAAGAGTGAGCAACATAAAAATTGAACTGATCTGCAATGAGATTATAGATATAGATTATTTGAAACATTATTGATTTAAAATCAATGAGGAAATGGAATTTGCAGGAACATCTGAAAAAAATGGACCAAAAAATTCTCCATTACTGTTCAGAAGAATAACAGATAAGATTCTAGCACAAAAAATTTGGTCAATTTTATAGGGAAATCATCTTTCTTAAGCTCATAGATCCTAACCTCTTCCTTCACATCACTGATAAAAATTCCAGATTATAAAATGAAGAAATAGAAATATATAGAAACCTTAGGGTGCGGTGGGTTTGCCGTTTTTGAGCCATTTTCCGTTTTTTGTTTTCGAAAACGTGAAAAACGCGTTTGGTCCGTCGTTTTCGAAAACGAATTTTTGAAAACGAGTTAAAATTTATAACTGAAAACGCAAAACGACTTTTTATCATTTTGAGCGTTTTCAGTTATAAATTGCAAAAACGCTCAAAACGTGAAAAATGGATCGTTTTCAGGGAAAACTAAAAATCGTTTTGAAAATGAAAATCCAAACCAACCGCTACCTTAATTTCTCAAACCTTAGCATATACCTAGAAATCAATGAATTCCAAATAATCAAGTTCCTCAAACTTATCAGATCAAATATCCCTTTTGTGTCGATATAACCTTTCTTAAAATACGCAGATATTATCACTAACCAAACATAAAAATTCCAATGTCATTTTCTCGAACATTTCCCATGCAAAGAATTTAAGTTATACTTGATACATATCTAGGAATTCACAAAATTGGTAAAGCTATTTCTTGCTGGAACTATGAGGTCGGTCTCCGCGGTTCTTGGAAGTTGGCAAAGCCGATCCGCCCAGAGGTGATTGCGGCTGGGGAGGAGTTGTGACAAATGGTGGAGTTGCCATAAACTTGTGAGAAAGCTCTAGTGCTCGACAAAAGTGAAGAGACGTGCCGATATATGCTATGCTGGCCGGAATACAATAGTGGCGCCGTCCTTAACATCAAGGTGTCTATCAGTTGAGCTCCACGATCCATGTCTGCTATTTTCTACCGGTTACAATCATGAAAATGGGAAAAGGTTGAAAAAATGCCACCATGTTTCTCTCTTTACGTTTTGAGGTTTGAGATTTTTAGAGCATTAATTATGTTTTAAATTGTTTAATTAGTTTTAAATGGTATTATTCAATTTTGTAACTTTTGAATCGTATTGAGCCTAATTTCCTCCATTTACGGGAGTGGCCAAGCCTTGGGCCATAATCAAGTTAAAAAATTAGGTACATTTTAATTTGTATAGTAAATGTTAAACTTATTCATGAATGACAATTATACCCCTACAACCTTAGAAATTATTATCATTGTATCCATAATTCTTCTCTATAAATATGAAGCTTTAATTCCTAATAAAACACACACAAGTACATTATCTTTTATTTTTTCTTCTCTTTTTTCGTAACACGTTATTAACATGAAACTTAATTCTTCATACTATAGATAAAGTAATTTTAAATTATAATCATCTATAATGTGTACCAAAATTAATTTGGTAACATGTGAATTTTTCTATACATACGTTGCTATAGAAACAATTCCCCCAAAAAAAATTCTCACATTTTTCTTTGTAGAAATCATTGAAAAAAAAAAAATCATTTCGTGCCTTGTATACTTACACATCTTGCAGCATTCGTTAATTTTTCAAGTCAATTCATGTCATGTTTCTTTATCAATGTGATACTTAAAAGTTTTTGGGAATACATGCATGTGAGTTTCGCAATTGTAAGTTTTGTAATTAGTGCTGTCCATGTTCCAAAATATTTTCTCTGTAATAAGCTCACCGAAACCTGTCCATGTGTTGTCATGAATTATATCGCAATTAATGGTCTAAAATATTATATGTACACATTAATTCATACTTTAGTTCATATCAAACTTGATTTCTTTTGCTTTATGTTTCCTGTTTGATTAATTATCTTGTTTATGTTCTTTTTGATAAAAGTATGATTTATGAATTTAGTACGCTTATATCTGTCAATTACAAATAGTTTATTGTTCTGAAAAAGTATAACTCTATAAATAATACATGGCCTTTGAAGAGCTAATGTTTTTAAATTGATAATTTATCATGTTGTTGCTCCTAAAGTAGCGCAACATTATAATTAGTATTCTTGAAGAATATTAATTGCTCCTGAAAAGTATGAACTATATATTTTTTAATATTCTAAAAGAATATTAACATATTGCTCTTGAAAAAGCAATAGTAAAATACGTGTTTTCAAATTAGTACATGTTTCAAAAAATATATTATTTTAAATTAGTGTTTGTCCCAGAAGAAAAACAGGTAACTTATGTCGTGTTGATATTACCTGATTAACTGTTATGTGATGTTTAATCATATTATTAGAAACTTATTGTATTTTCTTTTGTTTTATTGATCAAATGGTAAATATTACAAAATATGAGTTTGTTGCATTTAATATATCTATTAAAAACTGTCTATCCTAGGCATTCGATACTGATATCCATTTATCTCAAAAGGTTTGGGAAAGACAATAAAAAAGGAAACAAAGAATCCCTAGACGATCGTGCAAAAGCACTCATCTTCCTTCATCATCATATTCACGATAAATTGAAAATCGAATATCTCACTGAGAGTAATCGAAGGGGTTCTTTGTAAAAATATTAACTGAAAGATTTGATCGTCAGAGAACTATAATCCTCCCCAAAACCCGCTATGAGTGGATGTACCTTCATTTGCAAGACTTTAAAACTGTTAGTAAGTATAATTCTGAATTATTCATAATATGTTTAAAATTGACCTTGTGTAGAAAGAAATCACTGATGAAGATAATGTTGGAGAAAACTTTATCCACTTTTTCAAGCTTCGAATGTGCTCCTATAACAACAATATCATAAGCATGATTTTAAAAAGTATTCAAAACTTATATCTTATCTGCTTGTTGCTGAACTAAATAATGAACTGTTGAGAAAGAATCATGGGTTACACCCAACTGCATTTGCATCGTTGCCTAAAACAAATGATACTGTATTGATTGGAGCAAATGCAATATCAAGAGAACACAGACGTGCATATGGAATAAACTATGGACACAATAATCAATAAAGTTATCAACAATAAGGCAACAATTTCAAAATGCATAAAGCAAACGAAAGTATCATATCAAAAAAGGAGCACAAAAAAATTGTTTTAGAAGTGGAATGAAATGACATTTGGCACATACTTGTTGTATGGTGAAATATCTTGTCTCTACCAAAAATTAATCATGGAAAAGAGAAAAGTAGAGATAAATTTTGCTGATTATGATGGTTCTATAGATGCATGATGAATTTTCAAGACACGTGCTTGATTAATAGTGCAATACACATTAGTTCTTAGACAAAAAATATTTTTTGAACTTAACACTAACATAAAATAATGTTAATTTAATATCAAGTGTATTGAATATCGTTGAGGCTCAGTAAAAATTTATATTATTTTATCAAATGATACAAAATTATGTATTGATGGTGCACTTTAATCTAGCAAATATAGAAGA